CGCGATCACTGTGTGAGTAGATGTCCGGAAACGTAGCCTGGAGGCTAGGCGACCGGTTCTGGACGCGTAGCCACTGCGACATATTTATGTCGTTCACCCTCCAATGCCCCATGCAGGCTGAGGCTGATTCGGTCACCATGTTCATTTACTGCCGAAAAGTAGCAGTTATGTTATTCGCTGAAATGTCTAATCAACATAAAAACATCTTGCATGTAATTCTTTCTGGCAGTTGTTTGTACACCTGGTCTTTACAGGGCATGTGTTGAAGATTGCCTTGTTTGTGGTATACCGGTAGCAGTATTATGTCTTTCTGCTTGGATATGTTAGAAATGAGAGCATGCAGACTGTACAGTAAAGTTTCTATCCGATTTCTAAATAAAATATAATTTGTTTTATAGCATCAGAACCCTGGCCAAGAGATGCACAGCTGTATGAACCACTTGAGAGTAAGTCCATCTTCTATAACGTTGTTTCATCCGTCTTGTACCATATGTGTACAATATTTGTATTACTTGTATTACATTTGAATTACAATTTACACTTTGAACAAGTAGAATGACTATTGCATTTTTACTGACATTGTAATAGTATTATAAAACGTTTTTAATATTTGGCTATGGTCAGGTGTCACTTAGTGGACTGTATATTTCTCTACTTAGACTAGAGGCAATATTATAAATTGTACTGGCAATTCAAAATTCTGATTTTAATTGAACTGCTTTGAATTGGTTATAAAATCTTATTATTCCAGCTCAAATGTTGCTTCCTGACATAGTGAGATGTCGTGCCGTAGAAGCGTTTCTCAACATGTGTCACTTGGATTTTGAGGTTGTACACCGTAAGAATGCGGAGGACATGTCACCATCTGGTAAATATCCCTTTTCAGTTTCTTTTGGCAGTTAAAGGGGGGTAGAATAGTGTAGTAAATAAGCTCTTTTCGCAGTATCAGACAATAGAGTTGACTTATTTTTAGGAGAACGTATATTATTGGAAATATCACATTGTTGACTTGAATTAAAAAACAAACATTTTTGTGTACATAAAAACACATTACATAAGTTGTATTAGAGAGTATATATTTCAAAGGTTTTCTGTGTCAACATCAGGGTTTGAGAGTAATACTATGAGTGACATCAGAATCTTACCCTTTTGCTCATGGTTAGGTATGGTGCCATTTGTGAGGTGCGGTGCATTCATTATTTCGGAGCTGGAGCCGATTGTTGGATTCTGTGGAACGAAGGTGATTGTTAATTGCATAGAAGAAGCAAGATGAGAAAATCCATTTTAAAATACAAGTTTAAAAGATGGTTGTTAGCCGTGTCACATATGATTTAACTGATTACCCACCATTGCCATCTCTCGTTAATTAATAGAACTCTTGTTAAATTATTATACAGGGTCATGCATTGACTGAAGACCTTTCACCTAGGGACGTGGCAGACATGAGAGCATACATGGCTCTTCTCGAGAACACCTTCGGTAATGCTGAGGTATGATATATAGGTGTGATTTTTAATACAAACAGGTAGCTTTACTCTAGCTCTCTGGTAGATCTCATAGAACTGCGATCATATACAGTGGCCCAGGCTAGTAGAGTCAGTCCTCCTACACAATATTACATTATAACTTTGCTACTCTTTAGATACCCATGATTCCCAGAACGTTGTTGTGTGACGCGACCGATAAATTGTGATGTTGTTGTCACCAAACACAGTGATTACAATCGGCATCTGTCATCTCTAGTACTGCAATGCACAGCATAGATCTATATCGATTTATGCAGTTTTCTTATCAGATATTGAGCAAAACCTTTCCACTATCCTACATTGGAAATCAAGGGGAGCCTTGATTTTGTTAACATTGTTTCCAAAACGTGTTTAACAGGATTGTAACCACTTCATTAAAGACTATATGTATTTCTATATGCCACTTGATATTGGTTATGGCCAGAGGTGAATCTACCAATGCTGTTTACTCATGTGTTTCTTGCAGCTGTACATGTGTTGGATGGAGGATACTGTCTACCAGCAGTTCACTAGACCTAGTCATGAGTCGATCTACCCATGGCCATTGGGCCAGCTGCTCACCATTCAAAAGCAAAGGCACACCTGCCAGAAACTGAAATCTCTCGACTGGGCAGAAAAATCTACACTAGAGGCATGCTAATTGAACCCTAGTACCTTTCCTGTAATCTATTCTTATCTCTACCAAACTGTCGTCACTATTTCACATAAGCATAACCACTGGAAGGTTTATGTAACCAAGGAATTAAATAAATGTCATTTATTGCAGCAGTACCCTGAGAGTGAATAAGAGATGAGCATGTGATTGATACAGCTGAAGAAACATGCTTAACATTCTTTACATTGTAGTTAGTCACAAGTCCCTTACATTGCGAATAAAATCCTAATTTGGGTTAGGTGAATTCATGATTATCTGTTGCTAAAAGTAATTTGGTAAAGTGCATTGAAAGCTCTCTTCTCAAATCAATCGTAGAAGAATCTCAACAACGCAATACTGTTTGTAACTAGGTGCGTCAAAAAAGCTCATGATTTCAATGGAATAGCTATATGTTTCTAACGCTGTGTTTCTAAGCTAGCTTCTACTTCATAGGTAATAGAAGATGTCACGGAAGCTTGTCAGGCCATTTCCGAAAAACTTGCACGCAAAGACTTCTTCTGTGGTGAAACGTGAGTAGCAAAATATTCTAATTGCTGTTGGACACATTTTATTTTAGTGCTTATAAAGATTGGATTTCGCTTATATAAACCAGACAACAGGTTGTGGAAAAAAATGGCGTTAGGTTGTTTCAGTAGGAATAGATGAAGTAAATGTCGTGTTGACTTTGATATGGTAATAATGACATGTTATAGTACGAATAATTTTTCTTTTGCAGTCCGACCGAGTTGGATGCTCTTGCTTATGCCCATCTTCACACTATGCTGACAGTCAAATTCTCGGACGACAGGTTGGCGGAGGCTGTGAAACAGCATGAAAACCTTGTGAAATTCGTAGAGAGAATCACAGAAACGTTCTTTACTCAACATTAGGGAATTGTGCTACATGTGGAAAACTAAATTAACGCTCTTTCTCATACATGTGGTTTAGACTGTAAAAATCGAGAAAATTCATTGCTCAAGTTTGGTTTTCCAATGCATTTCGTGTCAGTGTAAGTGCAGCTGCACTCAGACAAGTTTTTGAAAATACTAGTCAACATAACACATGTTGAACTACAATGTTACCATTTATTCTTGCTCTTACTGTGTGCCACCTAGCAGAAAGATAATAATACTAAAGCTTCATGGAAAATTCAGGTTAATCATGATGGAATGGCCCGCTCTCTCAATTTTTGGCCACTTGTGCAGTTTCTTGAGAAGCAATTATAAATATGTTAGCACATATTTAATGAGCCTGTCATGCATCTCTCTTGCTAGGATAAATAAACTTATTTTACAAATTACATGTTTTGTCAATTATTCTGTTTGTTTGACAACGTGTAACATTACAACATTTGCATTATACATGACAAACAGACATTATACATGAAAGGTATAACAAACGCATTTGCAGCAGATACTGTTTATTGCAAATATGAAAGCAGTAATTTTTGTACAGCATACAGAGTATAAAGAAGGCAGTAATGATACAGCTTGATAAAACTGATAATAAACCCATATAATTGTGTAAATAGCACTGGGATATCGCCCTTTCATTGCACCTGACATGGGTTGTGGGTGTCTACGGAAGATGCCCTATGATGGCAGCGACCACAGAGGCAAGCTGCTGTACGTGATGGCAGTGTCCTTGCATAGGAGGCATGATACATGACAGCCGTGGCCTCAAGCACCCCACCGCACATCGTGAGTGTCTGTATTTTCCCCTGCGTACAGGTGTGGTGTCCGATGACGGCAGAGTTTTACCACGAGTACCTGCACATGAGGAATCAGAAGCGAGTGCTCATCTGTGTGCTGAACCCGCAGAAGTTCCGCGCCTGCCAGTTCCTCATCCGTTACCACGAGCGACGCAACGACAAGATCATCGTCTTCTCCGACAACGTGTTCGCGCTCAAGAACTATGCGATCAAACTCAACAAGTGCGTGCGGATGCTTTCGGCCATCTTTGTTTTGTTTTTTTCCGCATGTAGATGGGCATGTTATCATTGCGTACTGTCGTCATTTTATCAAAATGTATTAATTATCATAAGTTGTATCATAATGCAAGCTTAATAGATATATTTTTACTAGTGTTTGTGGGTAGGGTTATTAGTAATAATTAATACCCAATGTTTCTCATCGCGCTTTGCTAATAGGCGATTAATCTTTCATATCAAACTCTAGGTCAGGTTGTATATTCACTCCCAGATTATCAGATCAGTGTAATTTATAATGTGAGTCATTGCTTCACTGCATGTAAAATTACTCTGTGTAGAAACTCGTTTCATTTTCCAGGCCGTATATTTATGGACCAACAACTCAGGGCGAACGAATGCAAATTCTGCAGAATTTCCAGCACAACCCAAAAGTGAACACTATCTTTGTCTCAAAGGTAAGCCCGACTACCAAAGCATTGCTAATTCTGCTTGCTCTGGTTTTGAAATTTCTTAGTATTATATGAGTTACAATATGAACTTATTTCAGGTTTTTGCTTTAGCATTCTTCTGCATCATTTTTGTTCACAATGTCTTTTCCGTGATAGCGTAATGCTTTATTTGTTATTTGTTTTCATTACAGGTTGCCGATAACTCTTTCGATCTACCGGAAGCAAACGTGCTCGTTCAGATATCTTCTCACGGTGGTTCGCGCAGACAGGAAGCACAGCGTCTTGGTAGAATCCTACGAGCAAAGAAAGGTGATGACACGTTTACAGACGTACATAAACACACACTTCTCTCACACACTTCTGCTGAAGGGTTCGTTGTCGTATCAGGTACTACATATATGTACCTGAGGTACATATATGTATACATATGTACCCTAACCCTAACCCTAACCCTAACCTTAACCCGAGGTACATATATGTAGTACCTGATACGACAACGATCCCTTCAGTCACACTTCCCGCTACAGGTGACGTGCAGGCACATGCTTTACTAATAATACGTGATCCATCTCACATGTACCCTCATGCACAGACACGCTTGCTTGTATACACACATGCTCGCAGACATACCTACACACATGATTGCACGTACAAACAAACACACGTACAGACGTACATAGACACACACTTCTCTATACT